ATAATAAAAAAGAAAACTTATTAGATTAGATTAAATACCAACACTATATTTTTAGCAAGATGGACTGCGGAAAAAAACACACAGGCAAATAATTGTATGATAGACAAGAAAGCAAATTAACAAACTGACAGGGGAAAAAAATTAATAAAAATTTTACAGTCACTATAATAAAGAATGTTAAACTTGTTTCCTACTTCTAAAAAATGAAACTCTAAATGTTATGATTTATTTTCAAGTATGAGCTTTTTGTCAAGCTTCTAATAACTTATCAAATAATTATTTTGCATCTATTGTATGCTGGGCACCATGTGAGTTACAAGGGACCCAAAGTGAAGGCAACACTAACCCCAGAGAGGCTAAGAAATGAGGTTCTCTCTCCCCCTGCTGACGTGGAAGGTTAACTTTGATGGTGACGTCACTAGCCAGATGTTGGTTTGCTCTTCAAGTGGATTTGTTACCCTGTGTTACACTTCCGATCTCGATCTGTCTTTCACAGTGACTTTACTGTGGCCTACAGGACCTTACAGATTTGTCTGCTTGCCTCTCTCTTCTACCTCATCACTTACCACTATCTTCCTTGTTCCTGCACTTAATCACATTTAAGCTTGGTAATTTTGCATCAGTGCCCTAAATACACCAAGCTTGTTTCCTGTCTCTGGGCGTTGTCGATCTATTCTTTTCTGATGGAATGCTCTTTCCAAAGATCTTTCCATGGCTGGATCCTCCTCCTCTTTCAAGTATTAATTCAACTATTTACCTTGGCAAATGGGCCTGCTGTGATCACCCTATTTAAAGTGACAACCCCACTACTAACTGTAGTCACTCTCTCATGCCTTTTTATTTTCATTATATTGCTACCTAAAAGTACTTTATTCATTCGTTTGTTCACTATCTGTATGTCCAAACTAAAACGTAAGTTCCGTAAGAGTAGGAACCTTTTCTATTTGGATCATTGCTGAGTTCCCAACACAAGGTCAATAATAGGTACTCAATAAAATGTGAATAAATGAATAGTATTTCACTAACTTCTTTTAGTTCAGTCTATCTTGAAATGGATGTAATGTAGTTCAGTTCATTAATTCAACAAACATAGAGTAAGTGCCCATACTGTCCCAAGGACTCTGATCGACACAGCTAAAAAAGAAGAGTGCCTATCTTCAAGCTAGGAGGGAAGACAGGCAGAATCAATTAACTGTAAAGCAGTGTGCAAGTACTGGAAGAGGACCCAAGGTAAGATGGAGGCACGAAGAGGAGATTTAGCAATATCACTTCATGTGAGAGACCTTCACGGAAGATCAGATATTTAAATTAGCCTTGAAGTAGCAGGCTGACAAGTGAACAAGTAGAGAGGAGGTACGTTCAGTGAGAGGCGAAACCTGCTAAAAGGCAGAGTCATCCACCAACAGACCAGCTGTACTTTCTGTACAAGGCCCAGCTGTCTTCCGAGAATTTTCTGCATTATGTTACTGGATTGGATTCGGGTCTTCCTCTTATTTGGTTTACTTTTCATTGTGTTGGAGCTGGAGTTTAGTGCTTGGTATAGCTTGCAGGCTATAGAGAAGGGGGAATCTGACTAGTGACATGTTTAGCTGAATCTCTTTAATTAGCCTGATGAACCTCCTGGTCCTTCCATGCTTTTTGTATTTGTCAACACTGGGCATAAAGGGGCTCAGGAGCTATAGTTTTCACTATAGCACTTGACAAAAATGAAGTGACTAAATTGTCCAAAAAAAAGGTGCTAATTATATTCTGTTTAAAGGAGGCACAGAAATGTTTTAGGAATATTTTCAACAAAAACAAAAACAATAAACAGAAGTGCACAAATTGACAGGGTTGATATTGAATTTAGATATTTGGAATGCCTCATTTCCAGAAAACAGTGGCAAGTTAAGATTCTCTGCGTGGTGTTCAGGTAATAGATTTGCGAGCACGCATTCAGCCTTGATAGACCAAAAGGGGAAACTAACATCCAGAAAACAACAGAGTAAAAGGAAACCCAGGGAGAGGCTGAAGGATGCTGGGATGTTTAACGTGGGAAAGAAAGCAGTGCTGGTTTCTGCTCCTGCCTGCCTGTGCTCTGATTCTAAAAGTGTTTACCTTGCAAGCTCCTTTTCACATTGTTCCTGAACTAATCATGATCAGGCCTGACAATACAATCAAAGCCCTATTCTTATCACTATATGGGAATGACATTAGTTCAAGAACCATAAGCATACTATCCATGATGCCTGGAGTAGATTCCAAAAACACCCATGTACATAAAGAATTGACCATTTTCTTCCTTCGTCTCTGCTGCATTCCAAGTCTTTATAACAAAGCCTTTGCTTTGGTGTTTTGAATATATTGTATTTTACCAATCCCCCTGGCCCATGTGGCTAAAGCCCATATTCCAAGTGATGGAAAGTATCTATTTATAAATAAAGTCATGTTGGTAAATATTACTAAATGTTGATTTTTCTTTTTATACCATAAAGGCAGTGGGCAAAGGAAAGAGAGGAAGAAGGAATGGGTGGCAGTCAATATTTAATTATGCTCCATGTGTTTATTTTTAGTTAACTTAAGAAAATAAATGATAAAAAAATCAAATGTTTAAGTTTATATGATAATTATTTCCAAGCGCATAAAAATAGTTTTGCCTATCTCTTCAACAATGTATCGAATGATCCAAGATTGAAAACACGTGAAAGGACACAAAATAGTACAAACAGTTGCCCAATTTAAAAGTTTATGGGCTTTTTCCCATTCTAATCTGAAGATAAATGTCAGATGTCCACATCCAGATAGGGTGGGATCATTTGTGGCAGAACAATGCTCCAGGCAAGACCAAGAAAAGTCAGATTAAAGCAAGAATCACCTGTTCAAAGGCAGCAGAGGGCTGCTGGTACGACAGGGACTGAGTGGCTACGATTCTGGAGAGGGGTCAACTGCAGAGAGACGATTTGAAGATGTGCAGTCACTTTTTTCCCCGAGTTTTAAAGATTCAAGGCATGGGCGAGGGGGCTAAGAAATCACGCCGTGGCCACACAGAGGGCCCCTTCTGGAGGACAGAGAAATGATCTAAGCTTCTGGCAGTCACGCAAGGCTAACGTGACGAACGCAGGAACTTGAGACTTGTTTCCACCTCATACCATGTGCTAAATCCCAAACCCGTACAAGGCTTGAAGTTAAAAAGCTAAGACCTAAAACCTCAGGAAAGAATAGTGGAGTTTTCCACAGTCTTACAACGCTGAGGAGACAAACACTAGCACACAGGATCCGCCAGGAGTAGGGCCCTCGTGAACACTGCAGCCCTCAGTCTGGGAAGCCTCATCAAAAGGCCAGGGTGAGGCACAAGCAGACCAAGACTCACAGAACATCCACTCAGCCTCTGTGGGAGGGAGCAAAGCACTTTAGACAGTGACAGAAATGAACTAATAGGAAATATTTCATGAAGTAGGAGAGAAAAGTGATAGTTGGTTCAGTGATCACCTTAAGCAGGCGAGAAAAGATGCGAACTAGTGTAGGAATAGAGAGGCTGTCCTTAAACGGAAGCATGCAGCAGAAAAGAAACAAAGTAGAGAGGGCAGAGCATGCGGCTGCAAATGCTGGTAGGCTGGTGGATGACATGGTGGGGACAAACAGAAGTTCTCGTTTCGACCGGGGAGGAGTGGTTGGATATCTGAGGAAAAAGGAGAAGAGATAAAATAGTCTTCTAGAGGGGAGAGTGAATAGATGAACAAAAGGCAAGAAGAGTGACGGGTAAGACCAAGGGCCTACGTGAAGATAGTAGTCATGAATTTAATGTAAGTTCAGTTGGCAAATCTGTTTGATTTTCTCCTGCCATATAAAGCCGTGAAGGTGCAGAACAGGCAGAAAGTTAAGCTGATAAGGCTTAGGTTTTGGTAGGTGAGTAGGACAAAAGGAAGAGAATGCCAGGAGAAGAGAGGTTATACTATTCGCAAGTTGGTGATAATTATGGTGGGTCATGAATATAAGCTGGGTAGAGAGGGAAGTGAGGACATGAAGGGTTTAAGGGATAGGAAAAGAGGAACTGAGGTCAATAGAAATAGGTGCAAATGGAGTGGAAAAATTGCTAGTCAGAGTTCTAGACTAAGTGAGCTGGAAAGACAGTAAGTGGTGGTCAGAAAGTGGGATGCTTGAAACTGACGTTGATAATGACCAAGAATAGGATATGACCATAGTGTGCATGGCAGAAGTAGTGTGGAGCACGTGATGACTGGAGGAGAGAAATTCAAAGAGATGAGAGGCCAAGATATTGAAAGGATCATCCACGCAGATATGTAAATCGAGAATTATGACAGGCACAGGCTGAAGAAAGTGACAGTGAAACAGATCCAAACATCTTTAAGAAATGAGGGAAGTGACATAGGAGTGCGTACGTGCCTGCAGCAGGACTGGGTGGTACAGTCTGAGCCATAAGCTTCAAAGCTGGAGGTGTTTGGAGAGGAAAAAAGGAACAGTGATGTACAAACACTGGTGAGGAACAAGCCTCGGAGTGCAGAGGCGTAACTGCTGTGGAGGGAATACCACCACCCGAGTGGACGGCAACGGAGGGGGGGCCCTCAGGGAGGGAACAGGGTTTCCAGCAGAGCTGGCCGGTGGAAGTCACCTTCAGAAAAGAACACACTAATTATGTGATTCATTTACCAGTGTTTACTAAGAGGCGCTGAATTAGGCATGGGGAATAAAATAGTAATAAAGACACAATCTCAGCCCTCACAAAACTGCAACTCAAGTGAGAAGTCTCGTATAAAAATTATTAATTTAAAGAATATAACTAAATTCTTATAACAAGCTAACGGTTTTATTAATAAATGAGGATGCATGTCTTTGAAGAAGGGTCTAACTACATGATTCTTTTAATATATCTAATCATTGCAGTATTAATTATATGCTAAAAACTAACGTGAATTAAGACTATGTGGGGAGAAGTCCTTTTGTAATGATAAAGAAAGAGGAGGAAAAGGTAAGCGTACGCTTTCACAGATGCACGCAGTTACCTGAGACAAAGCAGCGTCACGCTCCTCCATCACGGCATTCATTTCTTCGGCAGTTATTCTCTTTTTACATTCCTTGGTCTTGTAGATTCTATCCACAATTACAGCTCCATTCTTCTGAATAGCTATCCCTGTGTCTGCATTGTTTATTCTGTTCAGTAATTCCTGTAATGTCTACCAACACCATTATATGTTAGTCAGACATGAAGTTTTAATATACTTTATTTAATATAGGGTTTTAATTAATAGGCACATGTGAATTGTAAATTGACTGAGTGAAGTTATTGAATTTTCATATTGCAGCAAAGATGTACATTATTAGTGTGTCAATTCTTCTTTTTCCCACATCTTAGTTCTTGAAACCCACTCAATTGAACTTAAGCCTCTAAGATATAAGACTGACATCAAGAAATCTCCTCAGAGAATGGCTTACCATGTCATTTTCTTCAGGGTTAATATTTTCTAGCCTAGAAAAAAGGGACACAGAAAGCCTGATCAGTAGCATTTCCTTAGAGCAGCAAAATGAGTTCGCTTTTTAAATCTTTAGAACCTCAAGTAATTTCATTCGACTAGTCTTTAGAGTCAACCATGACACTGAACATATTAAAGTGCCACCTGCTCGACTCCATCTTTCAATAATGCTCCATATCTTCTGCACTGACTTCAGACTGTTAAGTTATTAATGTTTACTGCTATATATGACTACGAGGATCAATTGTTCATATGTGCTTAGATGAAGAAAGTTCCCTAGCGATAGAAGCACTCATTCTCATCATTGTATTTATTCCCGGACTCTCACTTCTTACCAGAAACTGTGTTTCCTCTCTTTTTTTGGACACCATCACAAATAAAAGATGGAAAGTATTTTTATTACAAAGTTTAACTATGTTTCCTCAAAAGCAATGACAAACAATTACCACTAAATTTGACCTGAAAATCTCCTGCTGCAACCTATTTGTTAAAACAAATATACTGTAAAGAAAGGGTGACCAAAATTGGACCATATTTTCAGATGTCTAATGTTATTTTCTCTTTTTCATTACATATATAGAACTATTCAATTTAAAGACAAAGAAAGTAAACTGGTTCCCCTCATAAATGCATTTTGTCTTATGGGAGCCACAGTGCTTACTGAAATGTTTGTTGATGTCGGTGAATTGAAGAAATGCCGTAAAGGTAAAGAAAGAAGTTCTCAACGACATATCTTGGAAAACGCCTATAATATTCTTTAGGAAACCATTAAATTGGATTAAGTTAACTGAAAAGCCACAAAGAGTAACAGTGAAATGATGCAGATTTTAGAAATGGTCTCAATGATGTTAAAATTTTACTAAAAAGTTTAGATATCCAAGTTCCCATTTTCTCAAGCTTCTCCCCCTCTTCTGTGCTCCTGTGATTTACCACTGACCACACACACACAGAAAAAGCGAAAGATACTAGGAAACCACAACAGAAGACACAATAAATCTGTTACAAAATTGTTCCAAACTCCACAGTTCAATGAAATTGCTATATTCATGGAAAGAAAGTATAAATTTTAGAACACTGCATTTTAACAGAAAAAAAAAACGTATATCAAAAAACTAGCTCTACACAACTTAAATAGTACACGTTAACAGGAAGGTGTAGTAATTTTGAATTATATACACTTAATGTATCTCAAACTATTAATGTCCACTTGGATTCACATTTCAATAAGGGCAAACACTCTCATCTTTTATCTTTTTCTCTTATAATAACAGTTTTCAAATATCCTACTTCATAAAAGCTTGTTCCACAAGAATTGTTAAGATAACCACTTCTTTTTTCCGCAGTTAAAAAATACATGGAAAAGTATACGATGACAAAATTCTTACACTTATTCAGGATCATGTAAAAGTCTCTGAAGAACTATCAGTTAACTATCAGTTACTGGTTGGCTGAACATGATTTTTAAGGAAGCCATATGTGGTGCAGAATATTTACCTTAATGTTATTCTTTTTAGATGAAATCAGACTAAGAGCGGATTATGGCAGTTTCTAAAGAAGATTCAATTTAAATTTTTATAAACTTCACAATTAATTTATTAAACTTGATCATTTAAAATGTGAAAAGAGACATGAAACATTTAGATTGGTGGATTACTGGGAACTTTTGCAAAAAAAATTTAGTTCTCAAGCTATAAATATCTCTTTTTTATTTCAAAGAATTACATATGATCAGGAAGAAAACAACAGTTTAGGTAGGTTCCCTAATTTATATATTCCAAATAATCAACACAACAAAAAGTGTATGGAATTCCTATGTAGTACTTAGGTTTTTCTAGGTACTGCAATATGAAGAGGTATTACTTTAAGGAGCGGCAAATAAAGAGTTTAAATGTTTTAAATTAACGTCTTTCAAGAGAGTATAGTTAAGATAACGGCATTTGGTCTAATATTAAAATTCCCTGAGAACACTAAAATTACTAAAAAATTAAAGTCAAATTTTCTTTCCAAAGGTTATACTAGATCCTTTGCATATGAATTTAGCATTCCAACTATAATTTATGTGATTGCCCTTAAAAGTACATAATATACAATGATTTATCACTTTCCTGAGGAATGAATTTGAATCATGTTTCAGTAAGTGTGCCAGGTCTGACATGCAGGGCATGAGTGAGCCAAGTCAACCACTTGGCATCTGGATCTCAATTTTGCTTTATTATGATCCTAATTGATGTAAGCACATGATAAATGGTCATTAAGACAAAAATAAAACTTTAATAAAAATGAACAAATGGTTAATTTGAGATTTGAAAGTTTACATAGAAACAAGTAACTTTCAATATAAACATGAATCTGGAAAGAGAAAAAGACAATATTTATATTTCTCTATTTGTATTTCTTTAAAAGTCTCAGGAAGCACTAGTCACAGATATCAAAGATCAACTACATCTTAATTTAGTCACAACTAGATTTTATAGAGCAGGGATCAGTAAACTTTTTCTGTAAAAGGTCAAATAGTATTTTAGGCTTTCCTATAAGTTCTCTGTTGCAGTCACTAACCTCTGCCTTTGTAGTGCAAAAATATGCATAGACAATATGTAAACAAATGGTGTGGTTGTGTTCCAATAAAACTTTATTTACAAAAACAGGTGGAAGTCTGGAATTGCACCACAGGTCCTTACTTTGTTGATCCCTGATACAGAGTATTGAAAAATGAGACCAAATCTTTGATGTTAATACACTGTAAGTGCCAATTAAGTATGCTTGGCATATTTTTCTGAGCTGGATCACTCAAAATCTAGTTAAAGATTAATCATCAAAAAAGCGGTTTTCAGAAAATTAAATTCAGTCCTACAATAAGTACATCACTTCCTGTATCATTTAAGAAAACATAAAAATTAGACAAACAACATACCTTTAGAAAAAAGAAAGCAATTTGAAACAGCTATACAAGGCATTCAATTTTCCATATAAAATGACTTTTTAGGTTTAAGGTTTATTAGCAGCATATACAACATATAAAGCTTTACCAGTTTAATAAAGACTTAAAATAATAGTTGCTATATGAAATATAGCAAACTATAAATTATATATCAATATGAGATTTACAATTATGCAAAAGAATCTCAACCTTTCATAAACTCTAAATTATGCCTATAACAGCCTAGCCAGACATAACCATGACAATCAGTAAGAATTTTGCTGAAGTAAATGTCCATGGGCTCAAGTTTCAATTGATTTCCTATACCATGCAAATTCTGACTGACAACCTTGCACTCCAAGTGAAAAGACTCATGCATGAAATGTCACATTTCTTGATTTATCCCTAAATCAGTCAATGTCACCTCTTCCCTTTCTGAACCTATAGTCATTCACCTTGTTCAGTGGGAAGAAGCTAAACTTTAACCTCGAATGATAAAAATCAAATCAAAAGAGATTAGCGATCGGCTAATCAGAAAACTCTGAATTGTTTGTTTTTATTCTCTAAGTCTCATTTTTACACAGTGCCACACCTAGTATGTTAAAAAATACACCAACACTAACAAAGAGACTGAAAAAAGATATCATGATCTCAAAAATTGGAATATACATACACAAACACGTCTATCTTAGTAAGTGTATATGTCATTTTAACATGAATCTTTAAATTTTTTCCTAGTTTTGGATAAAAGTGAAAAAAAAAACCATGAAAGATTCAAGGGGTAAGAGAAGGCAGAGAAGTGGCAGAATAATTAGACAAAACAGATATTATAACAGAAAGATGCAAAGTAGATCAAAGTGGCAAAGAAGATGAGAGAAAAAAAGACAGAAGGAATTTGGAAGATTATACAGGAAGCAAGAAATAGGGGTCAAAACAAAAAGAGATATGAAATAATGTATATAATTTTCAACCTATACTCAATGCCTCCCAATATGCCTTTCAGTGAAGCATAGCTCAGTGATAAAGTGGTTCTACCTTAACAAGAATTTAGCATAAAATGCACTGTTGAGAGTTCAGAACTGTGGACTTCAGCTGAGTGGAAAGGAGCCTCCACAGTGCCGTTTAAAACTATGCAGACATACTATTCCTCTCTGTTGCTGTTCTAGCTTTTTATGTATGGTTGTTCCTGATCCCCCTGCAACCCTAGACTATAATACAGTAGGAACTGACCTCAAACTATTCCTAGGAACAAATAATTCTTCATATCAATTACTATTATTGTAAGTATTTACATAATTATTTACTTAATGTCTATCTTCTTAACTAAACTGGGACCTAGTGCTGTGTTCTGAGCAAATAGCACTGTACCTGACACATAGTACATATTCAATAAATATTTATTGAATGGATTAATTAATTAAAAGCAAAGGCTTGGGATTGAGAGTTTTCTTTTCCTTCCTTCCCCATTTCTCCCTTAATACAAGTGCTACAAAAAACAAAATGAAAAAGGCTCTACACCTCACGCAACCCTAATTTTAACATATTGTAATAAAAACTCTAACAAATATATGTACACATTAAAGTAGACAGACAATGGAGGGTTAAAAGAGTAGGGAAGAAGGACAGGCTCCATTTAATCCTTATCAATTAAAGAGAGAGAGCAGACAAAACTAAGGGACCAATTTAACAGGGTTTCTGAGGAAGAAGTTTGGTTTGGATACATGGGGAGATGGCTGCGCCACTGATCAGGATAAGGGATTAAGGAGGATCAGGTTTTAAGAATGAATTAATAAATCCCATTTTGGATATTCTACATTTGAGCTGCCTGTGTAAGTCTGAGATAGACAAGTCCTACAATGTGTAACTGATGGACTGTGACCCTTTAGACAAGTAGTCAACCACTTAACGTCTTTTCACCTACAAAGCATGAATAGGACCTACCTCAAGGAGCCGTGACATTGCATAAAAAAACGATTTGTTATCTTTTGGGAGTGAATTTGATTTTTGAAAAGCAATAGTATCTACACAGAAGGAAATTTCATGAATAAAATTGGTGATCAATCTAGGTAACAAGACTCA